AAGAGATCTCTTCACGACTGCCCTTGTGTTTGCTAATGTATATTCAGACCTGACATAAGAAGAATTGAATATAATTCTTAATGCGAAAATATCTTTCCTCATTCATTATGGGGACCAATGAATTACAAACACTGAAGACCTTTTTGACAACCCCATGGGATCTTCAGACTCTCTAGAGTCTTTTGACCTTGTCGGTTTATTTATAACAACCTAACTGCACACCGTAAGTTACACCTTAAAGACATTGCACTATACAGGAATGATGGGCTCATGGTAGGGACGACTTCCACAAATTTTAAAATGAAATTAGAAGATAATATATAATGAATTCAGAAAACTAAATTTAAAAACTACAGTTAATACAAAATTGAAAAAGTAAACTTTATTGACATAACTTTGGACTTGATGAACAACATATACATACCTTACAGAAAACCTAATGCTAACTCCTTGTATGTACCCCTTATGTCAAACCACCCTCCATCTACAATTAAGCATATCCCTTAATCAATATAGAAAAGAATCAGCATGAACTTTGCAAATGTAGAAATCTTCCAATAACACAGTAATTTTTACAACACAGCTCTAAAAAATAGTGCATACAAAAATGTTAACATCAATTGCAAAAACAATAATACTAACCAGAAGAATAACAAGAAAAGAAAAATCTTTTGTTATACCCCTCTGTTCAATCAAACGGTTAGTGTTAAGCTAGGATAAAAATTCCTAGCTTTAAGTTTAAAACACTTTGCTACTGATAGCAAACTTAACAAGATATTTAATAAAAACACCTTAAAATTAAGCTACATCTGCACTGAAAATCTCGAAAGAATCATAAAAATAACAATAATAAAATCCTGGAAAGACACACATGCCAAAATATAATTAATAAAAACCCTAAACTAAATTTAAACAAAAATAATGAAAAATTATGTAATTGTAGCAACCCTGAAGACTGCCTGTTGGAAAATAAATGCCGCATAGAATCTGTGGTATACCAATGCACAATCTCATCCATTGAGAGTCCTAACATTGAAATGATATATATAGGATCCACAAAGAATGAATTTAAAATTAGGTGGAGATAACACAAAAGCTCCTTTAATAATATTAAAAATAGAAATCAGACATACCTATCTAAATATTTTTGGCATTTTTAAACAAATAAAACAACAAAAGTAAAATGCAAAATAATAAATATAACAAGAACTTGTAAAACCTGGGATGACCCATGCCCTTTATGTGTACATGAGAAATTACACATTAAGTCTCTGAAAAATGAAAATTTATTAAATCATAGACATGAGTTAACAGTTTTTTTACAAACATCAACAAATTTTCACCTTAAATAATTAGCTTAAGAAATTTTTTAAATTTCATAGTTTATAAACAATTTCAATTAAAGCAATAGGTTTAAAAACTTAACCCAATCATAAGATAAAAGAAACCCTTTATGAAGTCATCAAAAAAAATGGCAGTTCAATACAACGTATTTATATACAAACAACCCTTTTAGAAAAGAAAAAAATCTTTAGGTATACAAATACAAATTTAACGATGTAACAAAAATGCCAATTACTCTCCGTCATTGAAATAGGCCAGACGATATGCGTCAAACTGATGTCATCATTCACTTGAAAATAGACACCCCAACCCTACCTTGACTTAACCTCTTTCCAAATGTAACTAATATGTTGATACAATGTTCTAGGTGAAAATGTAAACCCTTACACCACTTATTAAAATAATTGGTTTCGCCATTTCCAGAGTAATTAATATTATGAATGTATATGCTTATAAAGATCCGTAAATTTCAAGATTAGTTATTCCAAAATTAGCTTGAGGATGAAACAGAGCTGGATGCTTTAATTCAATTTAATTTCTATAATTAAATTGAAGTTTTTAGCTTCTGTTTTTGAAACATGATAACTCTTATCTAGTGATAGAAACATATGTTTTTAAAAATAATAATTATATATATATATATATATATATATATATAATATACACACACACACACACACACACACAAAAACAACTTAACTAATATAGATCAATTAGGTCTCATTTGAATATTTATGGAGACATACCGGACCCTATTCATAACATACTTGTTGACAACACAAATATAATAGCATCATCTACATGCAAAAAAAAGGCTAAAAATAATGGAAGCCTTATTAATAAAAACAAAAGAAACATTTGATAATGTATGAACATGGACACAGTATCTTGACCATGTTTTGAAAATGAAAACTTTTATATAAATACATACATACATACAATTTATTCCTTGTTAACAATTAATATATTGCAAACTTAAAAATGGCTAAATGTATAGGCAAAAGCACTTGGATAAAAAGAACATTTAGACAATTTTTATATAATTTATCATTTGAAAAGAAAAAATTATTAGATCACATGAGAAATTGTATAAAAAAACAAAATCAAAGCACCTTGTCTGTTATATTCAATGAAATGTGCATATTTATGTATGTAATTATAAGAGATTATAATAAAAAATATTTTGAAATTGCTACACAAAAGCTTTCATGTTTCAATACTATGAGGGAATATATATATATGTGTGTGTGTGTATGTACATGTATGTATTAGGACCTTGTATAACTTCTTGCTGATTTTTCATGAAAAGTAATGTTTTTACAAAAATCAGTAAGAAACATGTCATTGAAACTTTTGTCCATTGCTAGCCACTACTTTTTTGTATCTTTCTGGCAGCATTTGAATTCCATGTCAGAAAAACTACATGTCTTTTGAAGCTAACCACAAGTCAACCCATTTTTGGCATCTTCATAAGATTGAAAGTGCTGCTTAGCCAGGCCATGTGCCATCAATTGGGACAAGTGATAATCAGACAGGGTATTGTTTGATGATTACAATGGGTGGGGTAGAACTTCTCATTTAAGCGTTTGCAAAAATTGTTTTCACCCATTTTGCAACATGTAGCATTGTCATGTTATAAAATCACTTTGTCATGTCGCTGCTTGTAGAGCATCCGTTTTTTTTTGTTTTTTTTTTCTTCAATGGTCAGCTCATACACATCAGTTGCAGTTGATAGCAATCTCCTGTGATGGCTTCAGTCGGTTTGAGCAGCTCATAATAAACCACACCCAGCTGATCCCACCAAATGCAGAGCGGAATTTTTGGACCATGGATATTCGACTTTGCTGCCAATGTTGATGCCTGGCTGGGCTTACCCCATGATCTTCTACACTTAGGGTTATCGTAGTGTATCCACCTTTCATCACCGGTTACAATATGACGCAAAAATCCTTACCTTTTCTGCTGTTGAAGCAGCTGTTCACATGTGACAAGACACCGTTCAACATCTCTCGGCTTCAACTCATACGGCAATCATTTTTGAATCATTCCTGATGCTTTCAAACATTTTGAAACTGTTGTTTGATCAACTCCTGATGATTCTGAAAGTCCAGCTTGTACCTGATATGAGTATTTATGAAGTAATGCCCCCAATTCTTTGTCTTCAAACTTTTTCGGTGTGCCAGACCATTCTTTATCTTCAACATTAAAATCATTATTTTTGAAGCGTCTAAACCATTCTATGCATGTTGTTTCCAACAGAGCATGGTCACCATAAGTCTCAACAAGAATTCTGTCTTTCAGCTGCAGATTTCTTTTGAATAAAGTAGTGCAGTTAAATTCCCCACAAATACACTTTCTTTTGCATGAAATGCAACATGTTTAACGCTATGAGAAAGTTGTTTACACTTCGGCGAACTGAATTTCAGGCTTGCTTATAGTACTTCCTTATAGATGTGTTATCATCTGAAACTGCATGGATGCAATTCTGTGAATGCCATCTGTTGGGCGAGAACTTATTCAAGATCCTAATAAATATATATATGTGTGTGTGTGTGTGTGTGTGTGTGTGTGTGTGTGTATATATATATATATATATATATATAATGTTCTGTTTCTATTGCTGTGATAACACATGTACATGAAGATCAAAGGACACTAAAATTTTATATTCTATTTAAGTCCAGATTCTTACATTTCACCTTTCTTGGTAGATTTTCTATTATCACAATGTGGGATATTTAATACCAAAACTGATAAAAACAAAAAGAAACTAAATTAGATTCACTAGTCTATATATTTAAACACATAAAAACAAATTTAAATTTAAAATTTCAACATCTCCTCTCCTTCATGCATATGTGTAATTACCTTAATGTAAACATCAGTTTAGTCCATTGAAGTCCTAAAGGAAGAAATGCATACTCAAAAATATTTTTCCTCTTTTTCATAGATTTTCCTAAAAATATATATTTACCTACATATATATTTTATTTTTTTGATGGAGTAATTGGCCATGGTTAAGTTCTCAATAAACAATAGGAAAGGGAAGAAAAAGAACAGGGCAAAATTATACTAAGGAAAAAAATATATATGTAAGTCCACTAGGCAAAGCAACAGTAGTAACTAATTTGTCTATAAATTTGGGGAGGGGGATCTTTTTGGTGGTCATTCCGATGCAATTGTGACCAATATTTTTATTGTGGTGTCTATAGATGAAACATTTGCTATATTAGTCATTTTCATGCATAAGTATTTTTTTTTTTTTTTTTGCAAGAGTTCTGCATGAGGAGAGAAGATGCAAGACAACACCCAAAATATCTCTGCTTGACTCATTGATTGAAGGATTTGGGGATAGTATGTGATCCAAGTGAATCAATGTATAATAGTAACAACACTTTGTCTCAGAAATTCAGTTAAAAAATAAACATTTGGTTTGTTTACAACCAACTGGGATTCTCATCTAAAGATCCATAATATTGATTGAATAATATCTAAGGAGTATAATAAAAAATAATCTTTTTTGTTTTTATTATGAGTTTTCAAAGATGACATTAGTTAAAGTTCTAAATCCATCATCCTATTTTAATATTGGATTTTTTTCACTTCTGCAATACGAGATTGTTATAAATTCTTCATCTTGTTTCTTTTTTTTTCAGCAATCAAATTTCTTGTTGTTGATTCAGATTCTGAGAATGAACAAGAGAATCTAAATACTAAAGAGACGCTTCATTTCCAAAACAATGGTATCTATGCACTTGCTCTTCTTTTGTCATACATGGCCTTTTGCTGTCATGACCTTATATGATATATTTGACGGAGGAGAGGACGTATTCAACATTTGATAATTTTGCAACAATACACACTTAAAGATTTTAGGCAGTTTTGATCAACATTTCTTTTCATGGTTAGCCCTAAGGAATTGTAAATGTAGGGCTACCTTTCACTTAAGCAAAATAATAACATTAATAAAATTTATTACAGGAAAACATCAAGTTTTATGGAAACATTGTTGATAATTATGTATTTAGTTACATAGTAAATAAAAAAAAAATAATATAAATTTTGATGCTATATTTGATTTTTTTTATTTGGTATTTAGATGGTGTAGTCCATTATTTCATCATGTTCATCAAAACTGATATCATTTTCCTCATTGCTTTGGTTTATTTCTAGTTTTTCAATCAAATTTCTACTTGCTGCATTTATTGGCATCAATTTCATTTTCTCCTTTGTTATTGGCAGCATTTTAGAATACTTTGGCTGCAATGCTAAGTTGAACCAACTGGGGCTATTTTGTTTACGCTTTGTTACTTCTCTTTTCCATTGTTGTTTTTACATCACTTTCTTGCAGTCATTTTGATTGGCAATAGTGAAATTCTGAAATTTACAATGATCTTATTCCATTTCAAAAATAAAGACTATAAAAAGGAATATTTTAAATTAATATACAACCAAAAATAAAAATGCTTTTGACAAAAAACCTTAATGATTTCACTATAATTATGTCACAATAATGTAATAATGTTCCACAGACAAATCTACGGTTTATGTTACCTCATCTCATTGCATGGTTACAAACTATAAACTTAAATGAGCTATATTGTGTAATCGGCTCTAATTTTTTTTGTTAAATACTTGGATATGATATAATAAATAATTTGCAGTAAAAAAAGCAATTTTTTTTTATTGAATATACCCCCTCCTCTGTCAAATATGTCATATCTAGTTATTGCATTAGTAAATCTTGACTAAATTTTTCAGTTTTTCAAAACATAAAGGTAAACAAAAATTAATTTTCATAATAATGACAACAAATGTTAGCATTCATAGTAATCCAAATAGTTGTTTGTCTTTTTGTATAGGAAATATATATTTTCTTAGTAATTACACTTTCAGTTGCTACTAGATGATTTTAAAGTCATCTGCTGTGATTAATAACTCTTTGGAGACTGTTGCAGGATTCACTACTTGTTGCCAGGTGTGAACATTTTTTTTAGTAAATATTTATGGGCTTCTGGTACATTTGTCCCATAAACAATATTGGCAGACTCATGTGAGTCCAGGTAAAACTTAAGAACAAAAACACAGAATTTAAACACAAAAGTATTAATAAATATATTAAACGGACATATTACAAAAAGGAAAATGAGAAATAACATTAAAGTTGTGAAGAGTTCAAAAGAAACTTTAGTATGTGTCTCTGAGATACTTACAAGTCGACAGTGAGAAGTGATGTCTTATTGCTAGCAAAACAAAAAAGGAAAATGGAAGAATCTTTCAAATCTCATGTCACCTGATATTATCATCAGTGGACACTAATCCAATAAGAGTTTTTAATAAAAGAGGTGTAAACTGAACAATTTTTATATTTTTGTTCATAAGTAACTAGCTTAACATTTTTGTCTACTTACAAAACCTCATTTTTATACATGGCTAAGAATTTTTTTTTTTTTTTTTTTTTGCAGTGTTGTGTGACCTAAACTTTAGGTCATCATTTGCTAATTTCTGATAAAAAAAACAATTTAATTTTTATTTGGTACAACTATAGATTTTTTTTTTTTTTTAATTCAGACTGTGACTACAGAAGTTGTTTCTTTGACACTTCTTTTTAATTCAGGTAACAATGAAGATTCATTGGATATGGAGTTATTGGCTGCTCCCACCCAAATCTGTGTTGCTGACTCAGAGGATGATGGTAAATAGACAAGATTCTTTTTATTATTCTCTTCTCCCAACACCAAATATAAAATAACATTATACACAAAAAGAGAAATTAGAATAAAACAAAAAATTTTGTCTTCTTTTTGTCAATATTTATATGAATTTGCTATCGGTGTCAATAAGAACAAAAATATATCAAGTTTGTGTCTGAAGATAAAAAAGCATCCAGTTGATGATGATTAATATAATTTTCCAGTATTGTTATTTAGGATTCAAGATTTCTATCAGAATAAAACAAGTGATATTAACGCTTTGACAAATTTTTTTTATAGATAACAAGTCTGAGATCTTAGACATGGTTCAGGACTATAAAACTACAGACAACTCGTTCTTTGTTGCTGACACTCAATCAGATGATTCACCAAAGGTTGGTTGAAATTCTTTCTTCCTTTGCTTAGCAACAAAAAGTGATTACCTATTTTCTTTTATATACAGAGATGCTGTCTCACTGTTTTTCTCACAGATTTTACACCTGAGGAAAGTTGTCAAATGCATTGCTAGAAATACACTAACAAACGCTATGCAAAGAATGAGTTCAGTTGTCTGAAAAATTTGTAGAAAGATTTTTTTTTTTTCTAATTTTCCAGATAAGACCACTTCAAATAGCTATTTGCCAATCAGTGATCTCCATTTGCCTGTTCCAATGAATATTGATATTTAACATAATAAATTGTATTATCTGTGTGTCATAATTGTTTAGTATATGAAATATATATGCAAAGGTAACAACTCTTCTCAGATACAGAATTGTTCAGAATTAGTCATTGCAGATTTTACACAATTAAATCACCAAACTCACATGAGGGACAAGAAGGACATCCTTATGAATAGATTTTAATATTGGTGATTTAATAGCTTTATAACCTTCAGTGATTTATAACTTTAAATACCTGTGTGCTACTGAATCTATTGACATAGAACGCTACCCTTGTCCACGCTTTCCACTGACCAGCTAACAATCATTCCTATGTTGCATTTCAATCCTCAATCTTATCAGTGCTCACCAAAAAGTGGAAAAGTACACAATGCATGCTCACGATAGGAAAAAAAAAAACACCATGTCAAGAAATAAGAATGCGAACCCTGTTTTCCATAATATTATCTGTAGGTGCTTATTCAGGGTTTTGCTTGCTCGTCTGGGTGGTTAGGTAGATGAGACTTGAGACAACTGCTAAATCAAATCTTCCCCTTACCAACTCCTTGCCCATCTATTCATCCCAGTGTGGTGGTTGGCAACACAAAATATTAATATAGGCAATATCCAGCACTTAGGTATAGCCTATGTCTGGTTTTGTTGCCACCTCAACCCCAAAAAATCCCTCATCCACCCCTTTTCTTCCCATTAATCTTTGGTTAGAGTGGATGTCGCTTAGAAGACCAAACTTCAAAAGGAAACATCCACTGGTCTATCAAACACTTGAGATCAAGATAAAACCACCTCTTCCTTTTCCACATGTGTGTCCATGGTATCACAGACAGGACTAGTCAAAGGTTACTTATTCATCTAAAAATATGATTATCTTTTTAAAAAAGGACATCATTTAAGATGAAATTTGTCATCTTTCCACTTGGCTATGTTATGCAAATCAGTTGAACCTGTGGTATAACACCTCACCAGACATTTAAAATATCTCAGAGTTGAACATCTCTGTCTTACATAGTTCATTAACCCTAGGAATATTAACGATAAGGAACTTGTCATAAAGGAGGTCTTATAAGGAAAAAGAGACTTGTACAAACTGTTATGGCATTAAATAACCCAAAGTAATTGATAAAAAATAAAAACACTTTATTGTCCAATCACCAAAAAGAATTATATAGCCTTGCATGGAAGTAGAATAGGCTTTTCATCTGAACAACTTTGTACATGTCAAATTTACTCCAAATGTCCAAGGATAATGTATCAGTATTCAACAATTTAATTTGAGATAATCCCTGGATATTTTTATCACTGAAAGTAGATAGAAAAAATTATTGATAGACAGGATAAACTTAACGCTAATTATGATCTGTTTTGTTTGCAGCCACCTATTACAGACTCTGAAGAACCTACAGATGGCAAGACTGATAGAAATGGTTCAGCCTCTCCAACATCTCCTTTCAGAACTTCATTTGTTGGCTCTCCTCGTACATACTCCAAAAAAGATGCATGTAACAAAAGCAGACCAGAGCTCATGCCTTCAAAGTCTATCAACACAGCCCAAAAAGATGAGGAAAAACCAGTTGAAGAAGATTGTGAAGAGACACAAGATCCCAATTTGTTTGCCCTGTCTACTTTGGTTCCTGATGAAAATATCTTGCGTTGTCCAACCTCTCCAGACAGCAAATCACCACCAGCAAGTCCAAATAGTAACAAGAATACAACACTTAATACCACTAATGATGAAACTGAAACTGTAACAGCTGATGAGAAAGACACTCTCCCAGTCAGCGGTGAAGGAGCTACTGTACCAGTTAATAGTGAAGAAGCTGAAACTGTCCCTGTTACCAACGATACAGCCACCAATAATACAGCTGACACCCAAATGGTCAGTGATCAAGAAACTAGTGTTGCAGTTTCAGACACCATCCCAGTCACAAGTCAAAATGCTATTTCATTTTTGGCTAACAAAGATAGTGACAACAGTATTATCTTAGATAATAAGACACCCCTTCTTGTGAGTGGGCAAGATTTGGCAACTGTTGAAATAACGACTGATGAGACCATGGTTGTTGCTTTGGACATTGATGTTCGGGACAGTGAGACTGTTGAAGTTGACCAACTGCAAGAAGATTCTTCTCAGCAAAAGCAATCCAAGGAAGATAACTCTGGAGCTGAACCACCTTTAAAACTGGAAGAAGAATCTGATATGAATGAATCCAAAAGACACCCCGAGACCTGCACAACAAGTACACCATCAAAGGAACCATCTTCACCCTTTCAGTTACTCTCAGATATTGAAAACTGTACTAAAGCCCAGAAAGAGCCTGTCCTGAAAAACATAGCTACTCCTGTGAAAGGAAATCCTCTAAATGCAGACCTCTTATCAGATGTCAGTGTTGGAATCTTTGATGTACATGTCAGTGTACCTCTTCCTGTTACACCTTCAGCAAAAGGTAAGTCACCAAAAATTCCAATGAGACAAAGTGATGATGAAATCCTTGAGGCTACACAACCTTACATGATTGACTGCTTAGATTCTCCACCTGTGCAAAAGAAGAATGTTAAAGCCAAACGAAATCTGCCATTTGATATGGGAATCACAGAAGAAAGTGATGCCAACAATGAAGATGAGACCCAACCTTATATGTTGGAAGATAACAAACAAGATGTTGAAAGCCACAGTCGTGCATCTTTCAGGAGAGGTGCTGACCATGAGATTTCTGATGATGAGGAAGGAGTTTCAGTTAAAGCATCTCCCAAAGAGAAGAGCTTAAAAAATGTGACAAGTTATCAGGAATCAGACACTTTGCCTCTTCTGGCAGAAAATGAGAGTGATACTGACAAAATTGTGTCAGAATCAGAGGGAAGTCAAACTTCTAGATCCACTGCAGGAAGAAACGGCAGCAAAAAGGTGCAAGCCGTTAAAGATCTGAAAGAAGAAACTGTCACATCTTTGAAAACAGGACAGGAAACTCAGAATGTTGAACTCACCAAAACAGAAGAGTTACAGAGTGAGGAGAAATTTCTAAATGCACCAAAAGAATGTTCAAGTTTGGTTAATGGTAGGTTTCCAAATCTTTCTTTTAGGAATTTACTCTAATGAATGCTAGTCAGATCTGCTGATTTCATTACTGTGCCTCATATTGCAAAAGCACTTTTATACTTTTAATAGCAGAAAATGTTTTTACTTTAAAAAAAGAAAAAAGAAAAAAAAAAGGATAACTGTAACTGAAAAACTTACTTGTAAGTAATGAATATTTCATAGCAATATAATGGATAGTGGTTAACTGGGACAAGAAATGGTTAGTAAATTTTAATGCCTCCAAAACAAAACTACTTTCATTTAATCACCGCAGATAATGTTTTCTGCCTGCCATCAGTAGGAGGGAAATAGTTTGCGTCTTTGGTTCAAATTTTTCACAGACATGAAGTGGAGCAACTATATTAAATCGATTGCTATGTCTACTGCCATGAAATTTAGTTTATAGGAAAATGGCAGACAATACGTTTTTATAGCAAAATGATAATCAATAAATTTTATGGCAAAATTGAAGACATGTCATACATTATCAAAAATTAAAATAATTTACTATGATTAATCACATTTCTTGTAAGGAGAAACAACTTTTCACTCACTCTTTTTTGGATTTTGTAAGATTATTTGGTTAAAAAATGCTGCCAAGCAATTATAATTTAATCATGAAATAATGTTGTTCTCTTGAATTAATTATAAAGTTTGAATTTTCATATTCAGATTTCGACATTACATAACCCATACAGGTTGATATGCTGCTAACCAAATCACTATCGTGCTAGAAAATTTTTCTCACCAGAATCCATCTTGCACATTTATAAATTTACCATTTGTCCGTGCATTGAATAATGCTGCCATATCTGGTCTGATGCTCCTGCTGCACATTTAGAGATTCTTAAAAGAAGGGTCAGTAATGTAAACAATCCTGACCAGACATCTCGACTTTCTAATCACCGTGACATGGCTTCCCTTTATATTTTCTACAAATATTTTCATAGCAACTGCTCTGATGTGTTTTTTTTACTTTAGTTCCTCCTCTGCATGAATTTAAGTGTGCCACTGGATTGGCAACTAGATCTCCTTGTTTTATTATTTAAGTCACTATATGCAACTATCTTTTCTATTTTAACATTTTCTTTTCTTGCACTTCTCACCTGTGGAACTTCCTCCCAATTTCTTGCTTTCTTGCCACATATGATCTTCAAAGTTTTTAATGCAACATCAGTCATGATCTTCTGTCTTCCTGAAACCAGTTCCTTTATTATACTCTCCTTGATTCTCTTCATTAAAGTCTTCATTTTCTCTTTCACTCCCTGCAATCCCCCATGTCCTATACTGACACTATTGCCTTACTTGGGTTGAAATGATTGAAAAAAAAAAAGAAAATATTTAATGTTCATTTATATCTTCATATTAGATTAAACTCTATTGATGAATCTTTGATGATAATTGCCTAACAGTATTTTTGCTTTTACCTCCAATATTATTTTGCATAAATGTCAATATTCTACAAGTCAATGTCATAGTTGTAAGACATGAACAGCTAAAGACTAGTTGTGATCTCAAGAGAGAAAACTACATCTATATATAACTTTTAATTTCTTTAGAAAAACTTTATCTCTCCCTGTTTCTCACATGATCTGATTCAAATTAATTCTGCTAAAGCGACCAAGTATGACATACACTCGAGAAATACAGTAGAGTACATCAACTAAAATATTTAGGATTTAAAGACAATGATTTTAATCTAGTCAACACACTTTGGTGGTGGGAACAATTTTATTAATAAGAACTTTTATAATTTATATTTATTAAAAATGACTAATGATTTTGACACTACACTACAATAATCTCTTTATCAATATTATTTATATACATTTGAAATTCTTCATAAATTTTATTAAATAAAAAGAAATACTCCTTCAGGGTGTGTTTTTTTTTTTTTTTTTTTATACATTTATTAAAATTGGTGGCTTTTACCTGTGTAAAATTTATAAACATTGCACGCAACACAGAAATATTTTAATCAAACCAATATACTGGTTTTGAATAATTTTTTGTTGTTTAATCAAAGCCTGATGTGGCTTTGGGATAATTGTAAGAGATTCATTTGTGAATATTTTATACAAGTTGTTATTCCAGAAAAAATTAGAAATATTCCATTTTCTGAGATTTTTTTTAATACATTTAACAAATGACATGTTTTCAAAGGAATCTAATAAATTCAGATTTAATGTTTTCTGAATTTTGAAAATGTTTTGTCTTTTTTATTCATAAAATTTTGGATTAGAACAAGAATACTTTAAGCTTATATGAAAGAAAATCTTGTGCACATGGCTGTCTTATTAAAATGTAATCAAAATTCAAAGAATTTTAAATTTAGTTTTGTTTTTAAGTGTTTAATGTATCCATATTGATTGAAAAAAATAAATTAATATAAGAAACTTCTACAACTAGTTACAAATGTTAAACAAAAAACTTTAGTATTTCAAAACTAATTTTACCTAAATATTTCAGCAACAGTATGCTAGCCAATTAGTATGTTCCTTAGCTGGTTAGCTCCAGGTTAAAAATTTAACTCAGTGTAGACTACACTTAATTTTCTCTGTCAGTTTTTAACATAACAAAATAAACAAAAGCAACATTGCTTTTTACATAACAAGGTGAAATTAATGTCTGTATTTTATTTTTAACCTACAGCTAAAATGACGGAAACTTCAAAACTAAGTAAGGTAAGTCATTTAAAAAAGACAATATTCAATTTATGCCATATTGCAAAAACATTACTTTTTAATATTTCTAAGTATTTTAACAAAAGCTGATCAAATTCAAATTTGTTGATGTGTGGTTAGTGTAATGGATAATGGTTTCATATGTGAAATTGGGGAGCTGACTTCATATGGTTCATTTATGTACAAATACCATTGGGAAAGGTATGAATCCACCTATTCCCCCTCCAGCTATGGTTTAATTAGTAGAACTTCTATCACTAAATCATTATTACCTCAAAAATTAATATTTATACAATCTAAGAATATTTTTTGGCTTTAAATAAACTGCAAAGGGTTGATAAGCCATAAAAAAAATAAATCAGTCATGATTTAAATAGTATGACATATCTAGAAAAATCATTGCTATCACAAAAAAAATTGTTAATGCAATATTTCCTCACAAAAAAATAATTATTCTTCCAAATATGTTTTGGCTTTAAATAATCAACAAAGGGTTGATAAGCTGTAAAAAAAACAAATCAGTCAAATTCAAATTTTAATAACAAACGATGTGTAAAAAGACAGATTTTATATTAAGTTTTTGGCAGGATTCTGGTTTTTAAACCTCAGAATGGAAATAAATATTCACCATAGTCATCAGATATTTTGTTTTTCTAGAATTTTTTTTTTTTTTTTTTTTCCATATATAACTCTTCTGGAAGAACAATGTGAACGTAGATATTTTGTTTTTACAGGATTTTTTTTTTTTTTTTACTACTTCTTTCAAAACATGAATCACTACTAAATGAGACATAATGTCATATGCAGGGAGAGAGAACAGCTGGTCAGTCCTTTTGTGTGTGTGTGTGTGTGTGGTTGGGGAGGGGCATGACAACATCACTTTACTGATGCATGAGTTAAAGTCAACGTAATTCTTAGTAAAAGCCTAGCAACTATGCAGCTTGGATCTGACCAGAGGTGTGTATAGTTAGTCTGAAATTGCTACTACCCTACAGTTATTGAGAAGAATTTTGACCTGAGATTTGTTAGTGACAATTAGTTAATAACTAAGGCTAATAGTAAGAATCAATTATTTTTATTTCTTATTGATCAGATAGCAGAAAAAATTTACCTGTATAAATCAATCAGAAAGTGAATTTAATTTTTTATACAAATACTCATCAATGAAGCATAAAATATTCTTGAGGAAAAATACTGGATAATGAAACTCAGAGAAACAATAATTTGCATAATAAAGTTTTCTTCTGATGATTTTTTTAATCCTATCTATAGTTTTAAGTTTCAGACACATTAGGCTTTATTTCATGGAATATAAAGAAATAAAGGTATAAAATATACTAATGTTACTGGGCAAAAAGTTTTAGACAGTGTCAAATCATTTACTGCTTTTTCTTTGGTTGTCTGTTAAGACTCAAAAAGGCAAGAATTCTTGAGAGTTATATTTTGACAATATACCATGCTTGATTTTCATATTGATATATGATGCATTTTAGAAAATAAAAGCTATTTTTGTAAGATTTTAATTTAACAACATTAAGCAGAAAAAAACACCCACTGAACTGTGGTACCCTGAAGAATTTTTAAATCAACACAAAGGATTTCTTTCAAAATCTCTCCATTCTCTTGAAGATAATAAAAAGCTGTATCATTAAATATTTTTTGTTCCCTACCATTAAAAAAGTTGAGATGTGAATATCTTTGGGGGATATAAGGTCTAGTAAGTGATCCTTCTGTAAATATACACCTCTACCCTCACCTGAGCTTTCCACCAGCCTGCCAATCATCACCTCATGTTGCATTTCAGTCCTCAATTTTTGTCAGTGTTCACCAAAAGATGGTAAGGGGCACAATGCATGATTTATCCCAACGTGGTGGCTGGCAATACAAAAATGGAAGCTTTGGAATTGCTTGATGGACACATTTGTCTCTCCCAAAGTGTGGACAAGATCTCAAGCATAACTATTAATATAGACCAGCACCTGGATATATGCTATTTCCGGTTTTGTTATCACTTGATCCCTAAAAAAACCCTCATCTGTCCTTTTACTTTTGCATTAACCTCAATGACACTTAATTCCTTTTGAAGTTCAGTCTTCTCTCTGCTGGTCTTTTATCAAACGGAAACACGTAAGAATGAGATAAAACCACCTCTTCCCCTTCAATGTGGATGTCCATAGTATCACACTTCATCCAACAAATATCCACATTTTGAACACTTATATCCTGGATCAAAATTATATTCTTTAAAAGCAACTTTCAATAGAAGAAATAATTCTATTCTTTTTTATTACGGAATTTCTTCATAGTAATTTGTCCCATAATATACTCAACCGTAATCTGGTCTTAATTTAGAAAACTTATTTTCACAATAATCTTTGGTAAATTCTCCAAACATAACAAAATTAAACCCACTCTTAAGTAAACATATACAAAGATCAGTCGACAAACATGGAATCACATGCCCACAATGAGATGGAGTGTCAATAAGATGGTTTTACACATGAAACCATTTTTTTTTAACTACCTTCACTCTTTGGCAATGTTTATTGTTTTAGAACTGTTATAAAGCCTAAACATATGAAAGTATACTTTTTTTTTGTTTTTGAGAATTTACAACAAACATACTAAACACTATTTACTTATTATATTGTTTATTGGAATGGTTGGCAAAACTTTATAAAATGGTAAATAATAAGGATTTCCGTATAGTTCATTCACATATTTTAATAATTTAGCAAATGCTTATAAATTTATAAATAAAAATTGTTTTCATATCTATTTCTTTATAAATTGGTAAATGATAAATATTGCATTGCATTAGTTTGAAATTGTATTAGTTTTTAGAATGCTGTAAATATAAAATTATTCTTGTAATTAAACACTCTAGAGAATAATAGTGTTTAACATTTTTGTAAATTCTCAAGAAAAAAAAAAAAATATGCATAAATTCACTTTCATCATATGTTTAGGTTTTATTCCAATTCTAATCATCACTTTTTAAAACAAATATTTCTGAAGAGTAAAAGTAGTTAAAAAGCAGTGTCATGGGGAAAAAAAAGCATCCTTTTTAACACTACGTCATATTGTGGGGATTGTTATATTATCCATGTTTGCCTATCAGTCAAGTCATTGCATGTATGCCAAAGCACTCCCAAATATTGGATGTCCTTAAATTACATGTTAAAAAAACTCAGAATATTAAAAAAAAAAAAAAAAGTTAGAGATTATACATGAGAAATGAAATATTGTCAGAATCTGTTATCAAGAACATATCTTATAGAAAATGAAATAAAAATAAAGTTTTTTTGTTAGTTTTTTTTTTTTCAATAAAATTTCAATGTTATACATTGCAACATCAAAGAAAATAAGTGAATACACTTTCTATTCTTACCTACAGATTCGATAATAAATTTACTTCAGACAATTCGTGGTAGGTGTAAAAAAGGAACACTATAAAAAATTGAATAAACGCAAACTTTTCCGCATTAAAATTTATAAACAAAATAAATAAAATTGTTTAAACACACCAAGTATTACCCTCAGTCAAGCACATAAGTGACATGGTTGCAAAGGCCTTTTACTTGATACTACTTTTGTTCAAGTTTATTCATAAGCAGATCTATATTTGTCCATGATAGCTTATTGAAGATTCACCCTCTCTCTTACTCACTCCATGAGTCTACCACTCACACACATATATATATATATATATATATATATATATATATTCCTTTTTATCTGTCTTTAGTTAGTATTAATTAGCCTTAAGCTGTCAGTTATTATTGCCTCTATGCACAAAAAAAAGCAATTTCCAGTTTTATCTTATTACAAAGCATTTCGGGCACACATAGTTCCGATAAATCTTGTAATATTTTAAGTGTATTTGTTTTTAAATTCAATGAAATTTCAACTTTTGTCTCTGCTAAAGCAAACACAGAAAACTGTACGCATTCTTTTGAACTACTTAAATATCCACTTGTGTCCAATGCACAATTTGAATAAAAAATTTCTTAAAAATTCACTGCCAGCAATTTTTTTGTTTCACACATGAGTGCCAAAAAGTTTTCAGCTTAACCAAGAAGGGATTCCTGAACAAGTTCTGATATTTGGTCAGAATTTGAGAAGTGGGTCATGCCAAGAACTTTGTATTTTCTGATTATACTAAACAGTGTATCCTAAGTTTCACCGCTTGATGATATTTTAAAATTCAATGTACAATTTTATTATTAACAAGTGAATATGCAGATGGTGTACTAGATGGCAGCCCAGAATGAGAAATTGGAGAAATGAGTTCAAATTCCAGTCAAGTTTGTTACTTTCACTTTCACAATCAAATACCCTTGGGAAAGGTATGAATCTATTTCTCCTCCCCCTTCAATAACAGATTAAATAGTAAGATTTTTATGAATAAAAATCATCTCCAAAAAAATTATTAATTCACTTGCAAAAAAAGAATTATTCTTACAATTCCAAAAATATATTTCAGACTTAAATAATCCACAAGTGTTGATAAGCCATAAGAAAATCAGTTATTATTAACAGTTACCATAATAACGGAATCTCTCATTAAGTAGGGGAAATCAGGTTACATGATTGTATATTTATAAATTTTCATTGTGTCTTATAGGTTATGGATTTTTTCAGAAAGAAATGTCATGCAAGAGAACTCATCCAGACCTACCTTCCAAAATCAGTATTTTGGAAGTTGGTTGGGCTGAGAAGTTTTCAGCATCCCTTCTATTTTTGAGGAAAAAAGGCAATGAAAAATAAAAACTTTTGTAATGGGTTCATGTCATTTCTAATAATGATGAGTATGTTCTTGACAAATTTAACTTTTTATGAACAAGTTTTATATTCTCCAAAAAAACAAAGTAACTTTATTTTCCAAACAACTTATTCTTTTTCTTTCTTTCTTGCCAGATTTTGCAGTCAAAAGAGGCTAGTCCTTCTGTTTCCATTGCCCAAACGATTTTGGGTGAAAAACAACCAACCAGAAGGAACTCAAAAGACAGTGAGGAGAGCGGAGAGGCTGCTAAGCTAAAGCCAAACAAACGTGGCAGAAAAAGAAAGACTGCTGAAGAAAAAGAAAGTGCTGACAAGGTAGCTCTTCCTGCTGAACATGTTGGAGCAGAAATAGAAGTAGAAGAAGAGGAAATAGGTTCCAAAACCAAAAAGACCAGACGAAGTGTCCACTTCGTCGGAATTTCTTCAAGTGATGAGTACTCCCAAGAGTCTACCGAAACTCGTTCATCTCGTTCACGACGAAAGGAAAGTCAGGAAACTGAGAATGAAACAGTTGGCCGGAAAACAAGAGGTAGAACTTCCAATGCTCGAGAAAAGGGGAAAAAGGGAACCATCTCCAAGAAGACTGACGTAACTGAAACTGAAGAAAGTTCTTCAAAAGGGAGACGATCAAGAGGACGTAAATCCAAAATAGATGATGATGAAAACCAGAAAGATCCTCAGACAACAGGGAAAACCAAAAAGGATAAGCAGGCAAAAACGTCTGTAATTGTAAATCAATGTCAAAGCAAGAGAGCTAGTACTGTGTTAGATGAATCTAGTGAAATGCACAATAAGAATTCAACCGAAGAGACAAAGAGTAAAAAGCCTAGAGGGCGTAGATCCAAAACCAACAATGATACTCAGAATGAAGTGTCTGAAACATCTGGAAATGCTAGAACTGATGGAGCAGAAGAAATGATTGTTGCAAAGGAGACATCTGAAGAAATCCCTATACTTGAAAATGAAGTAAATGCAGAAATTCTTAAAAAATCATCCAAAGCAATTTCTGACCCTACCACTCAATCCAGCACTGTTGAAGTGTCAGTGGAGGAAGGAGTGGACCGTATAGAAATTGATGCTTCCAAATTAACAACAAAGACCTCTGGACAAGAAGAACTGACAGAGAACACAGAAACCAGAATAGATGATGATTCTCAGAAAGCCAGAACTTCTAGGAATACCAGATCTGAAAAATCCAAAGATGAGGATGGAAAAGAAGAAAAATTAAATGAGACCAAAACAAAAGTAACAGAAGCTCCATCTAATAAAAGAGTTTCTCGAACCAGTAAATCCCAAGCCAATTCAAACACTGCAACTTTTGAAGACAATGAAATGGTTTCAGAAAACTACTCAACCACTGAATCAACTCCAAAAACGAAAAAAGGAAGACCAAGAAAAGGAAAACAAACGAATTCTCAAAAATCTGAAACTGCTCCTGAAGAAGAACCACCAGTGAATAAAAGACCATCCCGAAACACAAAAAGATCATCCCAAGAGGAAAAAATTCCCAAAGATACAGCTACCACCTCAAGATCTTCTCGCAGTGGAAGGACTAAGAAAGAAAAAGACCAAGATGCTGAGGAACTTACTGCAAATGACAAGACATCGCAAAAGCACATCAAGAATTATTCTGAAGAGTCTTCAGATATGAATAAGGCAACGAGAACAACAAGAGATCAAAAATCAAAAATTGCCAAAAATTCAAGTAAAGACAATGAAGCCAGTAAGGTTGAAGATGATGATGATTTTGTAGCCCCAGCTGGCAGGGGACAGAGGTCAGAAAAAAAGGCTGTGTCACAGGAAAAAGCATTATCTCCTCCCCCACAAAAAAGTAGTAACGTGTCTTCTGACTCATTCGAGAGCAGTGAAAGCATGGACCTTGCAAAACAAGAACCCAAAACACCAACTGCTAGAAAACGAAACCAGAGTAGTCAATCAAGCAGTCAAGTAGGTTACACTTTTTATTTTTCCAAGATTTCTCTCATCTGTCATTACTAACAAAGGCTATGATGAACACAAATTCCGTAACCCATTTGGGACATTGCATGTACTACATCCACGGTAGCAGTGGTGTGTCCTGGGCAAAATAGCCTAATGGAGCCCAACCCTTTCCAGACTGGTTTGAATTCAGAATTTTCTTTCTCCTAGACTGCTCACCAAACATGGCTATAGGATCCAGTCTATCCTGGTATTTACTCATAGCTGGGTGGGGAGTATAGATGGATTCATACTTTTCCTAAGGATATTGACACCTAAATGAATGTAATGGACTCAACTGGAATTTGAACTCGGCTCTCCGACTACTCGATCTGAGCCGCTATCCATTACTCCACTGTGCCTACAATTATATTCCCTTGCACACAAATACCTTTGCAAAAAGGTATGAATCCACCACTTCTCCTTTTCCCCAGCTATGGATTAATTAGTAGAACTTGTATCAGTAAAATATTATCTCAAAATAACTCTTACACTCTAAAAATATTTTCTAGCTTTAAAACGTGCAAAAAGGTTGGTAAGATGTAAAAAAAACTCCAAAAACGAGTCAATCCAATCAAACAAAAACAAAGACCTTCATTCCAAAAAGCACCTCTAATTTGTTCAACTAATAAAGCATCAAAGTAATTTTTTTTTTAAAGTACTTCTATTATTCAAATCTCTTTATTTCGCATACGTTAATTATAATACAAGATGTATATCACTAATTTCAGATTCACAAATCCAGAAGTTTCAATGGTTATTTAGGTATGTAAACAAAATTTTGGCAAGGAATCAACACCTGGGAAAAAAAAAGACTGTATAAACACTGTAGCAGTATCCAGAATCCTCTTCCCAGCATCTCCTTAGCTACAGACATCCCAGATATTGACCCAGATATCTCACAAGATAACCCAAATGCTGTAGATATTACTCAATTTTAATTTACATGTAGGAAGAAATACATTTGTTAAGTGCATTTATAGTAAAAGTTCAGGTAAATAAATGATGTTTTTTTATTTATAATTTTATAAGTCATTTTACTGTCATCAGCCAACCTATTTTCTTTGCTTTTTCTATTCAAATTATTTTTGACTCACAATCAACTACTGGACTAACATTTTGTCATAAACAAATCCTCTAAGACTGGGCTAGGTATATGACTATGCAAGTTATATTAGTTTACAACACATTATATACATTATTTTGCTGTTTTTCATTATTTTTCTTTTTCTGATCCGAAGCCTTTCTGATTTTCAAAATCTATTACTCAGTTGTCTGACCCCCAAGTGTACCAAATTAGTCAAATTCAACCTCGATTCGTTTTTGGAGTAAATTTTGCAAAATATACACCTCTAAATAGTAGGTTGGAACAAAATAAATGGCAATTTTTGCATAGCATTACTGCAATGGTTCCCAAATGGTGCAGTGCACCTCATAGGTGAGGCAGAAGAAGATAGCAGGTGAGGCAGAATGATTGAAAGATAATCAAAGATTTAGAAACAGTTTTAAAAATTCATATGCCAAAAATAAATATGATTTCAAAATTTAAAATATTATTATGGATTAATTGCATGCATGAGTCCCAGTATAAATAGCTATAAATAATTATTGATTGATTTTATTGTGATATTTTTGCATTATATCAAGTATTAAGAATATAGTAACTAAGGTTTGCAAATTTGAGGAGAGAGTTATCAATGATAATGTTCTGACTTTAAATCCGCAGTTATCTCCCTTTAACTCTCTCTTATTTTTAAATGTACTTTTTTATCACATAAAATTTGGTGAGCACATGCAAATTTTCATTCCGAAAATGCAGCCCAGAGCAAAAAAAAAAATAATTTGGGGACCACTGCATTAGTGCAATCTTTTTCTTGTGTTGTTCCTGTCTGCATACACTTCTTAAAACTCTCAATTTTTCCACTTTTGGGTTTTAATTACTTTTATTTTTTGTTTTTTTTATAGAAGTATCAAAGCCAAAATAAATAAGTTTTATTTCATATTACTTTTCTTGATGAGCTCCAATTCTGCAACTGTGTTGCCAAAGCCATCCACCATCCATCACATCAACTGTTCTTGGGAGCTGGGGAATAAATTTCAGAATGAAGTTCATGTAATTGGTTTTGTCCCCAAAATCCCTCTTGATGATCTGGATCTCCAAGATGAGCCTGACACTGAAGAATTGAGTACCATCATAGAAGCTAATGCAGAAACGACGACACATGCATTGAAAGAGAAGCATCTGGCACAAAATGGCAAAATAAAGAAAATTGCAGATGTGTGTGACCTGTGATGATCAGCAGATCACACAGTTTTTGATACTTGCTTGAATTTTTAAAAAAAAAAAAAAAAAAAAAAAAATGACTCTTCATTGTGTACTTAGAATTGATAAAAAGTGGCTTCTGTATGATGATCAATGAAAGTATTTTTCTCTGGATCAAGAAACCTGCTCCACACTCAAAATCACCAAAATCATCAAAGATCATTCTGACCATCAAATGATCAGGAAGACATTTTTTTATTTTTTTCTTTGTAAGAGAAAATATAAAGAAGTAAAATATATCTTACAAACTTGCTTCCAACCTGGTCAGATCATCACAGCAACATTACATTGTCATAATTTTGAAATCACACAGGATTAGTTGTAAATGGCAGAACCTACCAAACTCTACCTATCCACTAGATATCTTCACTACTAATTGCCACTTTTTCTGGGCATTAGATATGTATGTGTCAGCAGGGTACCAATTGAAAATGTCTTCCAAAAGTTTGTCATACATACATAGCTGTGTTTTTGTTTTTTGTAAAGGCAAGACTACCAAATTCTTTAAATAAATATATATATATATATATACACACACACACACACACAGAACTTATTGAATTTTTAACAATTATAATTAGCTTTCTTATCCTTCTTTTACAGAGCAGCCCCTTTACCACCCCAAAACGGCAGCAGCTGAATAGTTCTTTGTCACCTAATACACCGTCCTCAAGAAGTTTGTCCAGTGGCTCTAAGCCAAAAGTCATGTTTACAGGTGTGACAGATGATAAACTCCAGAAGGTCAGTCAGTTGAAATCATAATCAACGTTGAACTTTTTGAGAGATGTGTTTGACTTTACGTACTGTCAATATTGTATGGAAATTTATTGAAACTATCTTTTCAACCAAATATGAATTTTTAAAAAACAAAAAAAATTCCTGTCTCACTTAAACTCCCATGAGAAAAGCTGATTAACAGCCAATGTAGATTTAAAAAGAAAACATTTCTTGCTTAGAAGCATCAATGTGGAGAAAAAACATATACATCAATATGGCTTATTTGAAAAACCTCTTCAAATAAAGCCATCATGGTTTAATTGGTAAGGTGCTGTCACCTTACACAGGCATCTAAAGAGAAAAGATGAAAATTCAAATCATTCTGAATGCTTATTAACTTATTTTGGTGGTCATAGAATAACAGCCTGAAAGAAATATCAATCAAAACTTAAATTATGGGTCAATTTTACTATTACGATACTCCCCGAAAAAGGGTCTCTCAGAGCTTTGGGGAACATGTTTATGACCAAAACAAAAAAAAAAAACAGGATATGACAAATGAGGATTGTCTTGCTATAAAGATCCAGTGTGGAGATCTGTCATACACCTCCTCCTATTTTTGTACAAGGAATCAACTGTAGTCAGGATCATCAAGTCAATGTGAGCTACCATTTTTTTTTTTTTTAGCTGCATAGTATGTGCTTCACCAGGGCTATATACAGTTTTGAATTCAGTTTTCCTTGTAGACTGGTTGCCACCCAAGGCTATAGAACCCAATCTGTCCTACTATTTACTCACCTGGGAAGAAGTGGGGTCAGAGAAGAGATTGATTCATACCTTTCCCAAGGGTATTAGCACATAAGTGAATATAATGAACTTGACTGGAATTCGAACTTATCTCTCTGATTCCTCAATCCAAGCTGTAGTCCATTGTTTAATTCATTTTCTATCCATATGCAGGTGGTTTGCTCTTTGTATATCTTTGGAATTGTTTTAATATCTTACTAAAAGAGATCAAGTTTTCCTAACAGTTCAAATAGATTTTTGTGCCATATTTTATCAAATGCTTTTACCATTAGCAATGTAATCCTAAGAGAACCTGGAAATCGTACCAGAAATTATTGCCAGTGGACATAATCTTAACAACAAATTGTACAAATAACATTGTGTTGACGGTAAATGCAGAAGAAATACTGCAGAAACTCTTGAACAAGATAGTAAAAAAAAAAAAAAAGCAAGAAGAAAGGACTAAGCATCAATTCTAAGAAGGCAGCAAAAGAAATGGCCAAAAATGCCAACTAGGAATTGGAGTTGTCGAAATGAAACCTGTACAAAAGTTTAAATATCTCAAATGTAAATGTTCTAAAAAGGAGTAAAAGATTTAATTAAACAATCAAAAAATACTTTGATCCTTCCTCTTAATAATAACATAACAATTTTGATGATAAAACTATGTTTTCATTACGTTTGAAACATGTTTTCATCACGGTATACTGACTTTTTAGCTATTTTGTGGAATTACCTAATAAAATGTCTTTTCATGAGAACAAGCATCTTTTTGAGATCTGGGTTTCATCAAATTTAACAGAGCCCAAAAATAATAGACATGAAATACATTAAATATTCAATTTTACAAACTTTGCAACCTTGACATGTTTATTTCTATAGAGAGTAAATAAAAAGACAATTTATTTGAAAATACTTTGATCAACTTGAAACATTGCAGATTTTACACTAAAATTCTGTTGAATAATAAATTTGTTTATAAAAGAATTATTGAAGTAATTAGTTTTCTTTGATCATGAGTTTTCATTATCTTTGATTTTTTTATTTTATTTTCAAAGATTGTCACTGACCTTGGAGGAAGTGTTGTGACGGGTTTTGATAGCTGTACCCACTTAGTAACAGACAAGGTAAACTTCATCATTCTCTCTTTCCTATTTAGTCATTCTGGTAGTGGAATGTTAAATTAATTCGAGCATAAGAACATGAGAGACAATATTGAAGAAAGAAAGAGGTCTTTCTATAATATCCCAAACAGAATATATAGCATCCAATACATTTATTTCATATTGGTTGTGGCAATCATATCTTAAGCCACAAGACTGAAAGTAGAATTTGATGCTGCTGGGAGACTCCAAATTACAATAATGTTTCCAGCCCTGAGGCTATACATAATTTCAGGGTTATCCTTTCAATACAATCTGTGTGTGTGTAAAATATATGCACACACACACACACACACACACACACACACACACACACACACACAGGGTGAGTGGAAAGAAACTCCCTATTTAAAATTGTTAATAACTTTGTTAATTATTGGTTGATTTTATGAGCCATGTTTTATTTTGAAAAGTATAATGGTAGAAGTACAGTACATTTTGCACATTTTCATCCAATCTGGACGCTGGAGGATGACCGCTTATGTGGGTATCTACCACTGATCCCCTACTCATCAGCTTGGAATGACAATTTTTGATAGTTTTGGCATCTACTAAAAAATAGTCCATGAACACTGCACCACCATCTCTGCATTTGTACACTTCATAATGGGAGGCTAGCAGTGTTAGGCATTGTCATTCTGGACTACACTTGTCACTGTGAAATAAAAATAAAAATTAACAATTTCCACTCACACTGTAAACTAGTGTCAATTGCTTTGTTTCAATGATCTGTTTTGTTTAAGACAAAGCAATAGACACAAGTTTATCTACAGCATGAGTGGAAAGAAACTCCCTATTGAAAATTACTTATAACTTTTGTTAATATCAACACATTTGCATGAAAAACATATATTATGATTCACAAAGTGGGGATTTTTCATTTTATTATATATATATATATATATATATATATATATATATATATATATATATATATATATAATAAGGCCTGACTATTGCATTTAGCAGTAAACAGACAGTTGCCTCTGAATGTTGACTTCAATGTTCACCAAAATATACCTGCATAAAATAGTATAACTTATTCATCTTTAACTTATTGGGTACAAAAAACATTACAAAATTTAGAAATGATTGCAGTGAATCTTACAAGAAATATAGAAAATCTAGTGCAATAATTTAAATGTCTTCCTTGAAGTTTTGATTTTGGTTTTAATTCCAAGAAAATAACAAAATTAGTCTTAAAAGAAAAAAAATTAATTTGGTAACCAAACAATTTTAACTCTAATTAAAAAAAAATATTCCAAAAGTAAATTGACCATTTATATAAATATGGGAGGGAGTTGCTTTAATGGTTATGTAATTGGATTTTGAAAAAAATATCTATATTTTTTCACTAGGTGTCTGCTATTTGTCAACTCAATTCAAAGGTCAAATGAATATTGAGCCAGCTTTCCTTACCCATATTTTATGAAAGCTTAATTAAATTTATGAGCATCCCCTGAGACAACTGAAATTATTAAAAAAAAAAATAAATAAATAAATCTAACCCTTTCTCTATGGCAGGCACCCCACGTTATTGTGCATTTGTAGCATTTAACCTGTTCTTGGCTAAAAATATTTGTAAATTTTACCAACTTTATGCTAAAGTTAAATTTAAATTATGCTTGGATTATATCAAACTATTGGGTTGTCTTTTTTATGCCTAAATATCCAGTTTTGGTCTTTTCCATGGAAAATGGATGTAATGAAATATTCGTATTGTGTTTGGCTCGCCAGGTTTAGCTTTGTCCATCTGGAATGGTAAATAGACTGGCATTGAACAAAGAAACAAATAATGTCTTAGCTTTCAGGAATTTGCATCTAAATAATTTTTTTTGAAAAAAAGCCAGATTAATTTTGACTTCTTTTATCGGTCACTTTTAGATTCGTCGAACTGTGAAATTTCTCTGCTGCTTAGCACGCGGTATTCCCATTGTTTCTCCATCCTGGCTAGCTAATTGTAAGACAGCCAAGATGTTCACAGGTAAGAACAATTCTTCTGTTTCTTTGATTTCTTTATTGAATAAGGAATTGGTTTTTGATGCCATGTGCTTAGACAATAATGTTTTGGTGGCAAGAGATATATCAAGAAATATCAGAAGTTCTGAGATGAAGTAATGACATTATGAGTATCCTCATCTTTGTTGTTTCAATTACTTTCTAATGAGAAGACCAGAGAATGATGTGATCAAAATGGCAAAATCAAAATTTATGGAATAATTACACAAAATGAATGTCTGAGAGTGTGTTGAATGAAATGTTACAATCAAAACAACAAAAATGAAGATACTAGACCTGAATAATGAAAAAAAAGTAAAGTTAACTGACATTGGAGTTAAAACTTAGAACCTTTTGTTGTATATCTTTTATATGACCAAAGTTTTCAAGACAAAATAAATTTGTTTTGCAAATTTATTTTACAAACAAAAAACATATTTTCCTTTTCATCATTTAATTAAAAATGAATAATTTAAAAAAAAAAAAAAATTTTTTGATCTTTCTTAACAGAATCCCCCCACCCCCACCGTTCATCATCCTAGGGTCCAAGTTACCATTGTTAATTTCAGTACTACAAAAGTTGATAAAAATGCTGTGATAATATTTTGCTTAGATTCTGCTGAAATCTATCTGTTGTAGATACACTAACAAAGTTTTCATTAGATGATTAGCTTTGAGTTTGACACAGAAAAAAACATTGCCACTGACCCAAGCTGCCTGACATTGTCACCAGAATTTTTTTTCTCTGTGTGTGTGGCTTAAAAACAGGATTTTGCTATAAGCAAAAAGTAAACAGTTTCTGTCCAGTTTTAAAGTGTGCATCAGCAGATTTCTTTTTTTGTTTGTTTCTTTTTTTGTTTGTTTCTTTTTTCTTTTTTGGTTCTTTTTTTTTCTTTCTTTTGTTTGATTTTTTTTGGGGGGGGGTTTTACATTGCTAAGATCTCTGAAAATATATAGACATTGAAGTTGTTACAAAGCAACAACAATCTCACTGAAATGATTTCCTTTATATTCATAATACAAATTCTTGAATTTCTCCAAATGTTTCTCTCCAACAGCAATTGCTTTTTGCTGTATGATTAAAACAATGTCAAAAATTTACAGAAAGTGAAGAAATAGATGTTCAAGAGGGCAGGAGTGAATTCATGCCTTTCCAAGCAGCATCAATAGCTACAATCAATTTAAATTTAATTCACTGATTCAGTTTTCATCTCCATAACCAATACACCACCACATAACTTCCTTTTCCTCCAATGTAATATGGCCACTACACAACCCTTATATCCTCTTTTAATAAAATCTAACCATCTTTAAACTTTCCTGTTTACTTAGGAAAGAAGGAAAAAATGAAAATTAACTACTAGAAGCAGTAAATGGTGGTGTTTTTTTTTTATTTCCTGGGTGGGAGAGATAGATACTTATGTAGATAAAAAGTTTAGGATTGTATGTTTTATATGTATGTTGCTTATCTGAATTTCAGATCACACGACTCATCTTGTGTCAGATTCTAATACAGAGAAACAATACAAGTTCTCCTTGAAAAACTCTTTGCAACATGCACGAACGGGACCTTTACTGGAAAATTACAAGATACATGTAACAAAATCTGTAAAGCCAAATGTGGACCAAATGAAAGGTAATATATTTGTCACTTAGTTTCTAACAATGCCCTATCAGTAGCATATGTGGAAAGAAAAAAAGTAGAACAATCAATTGTTAACTGGGCCAAGAAATGACATGTTAATTTTAATACCTGAAAAATGAAACTGCTCTCTTATTCATCTTAGACAACAATTTTTACTTTCCATCAGCATGACTGACGTTAACGTCCAGGAAAGTGACTCATTGCATCTTCTTGCACTAACATTTCCCTCTGACTTGAAATAGAACAATTGAATTAGTTGCTCAGTCGGATGCTAGGAAATATGGTCCCTAGATAATATTTCTCACCTTAATCTTCCAGATATATTTATAAGTTTGTCATTCATCTATGCATTGAATAGTGCTACCATATCCGGTCTCATGCTTCTATGTATCTAGAAATTCTTGGCAAAATCCAAAGAAGAATCTGCAATGTTATCAGTCCTGATATGGCATTTTGGCTTCAGTCACAGCTTCAGAAGAAAACGATTGACATTACATTTAAATTTTTGAAGATCAAATTTGACTGAAAAGCAAATGATGAGACCTATCTTCCAATCTAGTACTGTGCTTTAATTAAACATTTAAAACTCCCACTCCTTTTTATTTGTTTTTTAATTAAACATATACAAATATCCAAGACACATTTTTATTCTCAGTAATGATTTAATGCCATAGCAATATGTCTATCCCATTACCGGGATCAATCCAGCTGTTTTGTTAACTGTATATTCTAGCTACACATACACACACACTGTTCTTTTATTAAATAGATTGTTGAAGCTTTTTTATAGAAAGCCTCTTCTTGTGTCATTCACAAAAATTGTTGCCCTTAACAAAGTTTTTATCGTTCATCCTTGACTTACTGACTTTAGATGTTAGGCAAAATGTCAACACTACAGACTAAATATGATGTTGCATGAATTAATGTTAATTTTCAATGTGTATTTAAATTTTAAAAAATAATCTTTTTCTTCTAAATGACCAAAGAATAATTTTTTATCTTCATTTATTTTTCAAGTGTAAAAGAGCTATATGACTCCTCTAGTTGTTGATATGCCCAAACATGTTTATACTAACTCATAACTAAAAATTTGTTTTAAATCATTGAATAATTTTTTTTTTTTTTTTTTTTTTAGAAATCATGGACAGTTGTAAGGCACAGGTCAGTGTGTTTTTTTTTGTAAAAATTTCTTTTCAAATAAATTCCATTAACTGCTACTCTTGAATTTCAAATTGGCAGTAATAACATCTCAGCTTTCTAAGGTTTCATTATATTTGTACTTAACAAGAATGGATCAATAAGTCCAGAGCCTAACTTACAGTTAGCTAAATTTGATGTGAACTTTTCACTGTATAATTTTCACTAACCATGATTAATATTTATTTATTTGAATTAAGTTTTATGAATGAAGATTATATAGGAAAATATTTGTTGTGTGAAATACATTTTTTTTTTTTTCTAATCAGTTTTTAGACTTTGTGATATGAAAGAGTCACAAAAGTTTTAGATTATAAAGGTATTAATTACACTTTCATCAAGGGAGAATTGTGACTTTGTAATCATTTCAGTTTCTGAAAAATATTCACCTACAACAACAGGAATCCCAGAACATGACATTTGTATTGACTTTTAAAAGGGTACATTCAGCGGAATTTATAAGAAAATGGCACCGACTTCTCGCAGCATTTCAGACAATAAAGCTGCACAAATGAACACATTAACCAAAATATGATTAAAAAAAAAAAAAAAAACTAAGAGAATATGTTAAGGAGTTAATGGTGTAAGAATAGGTCTTTAAAATTTCAGATAATATTTCCTTTTCTTTTTATTCTTGACTTGTTTTGATTTTGCATGATCAAGTGTCTCTACCACCACCAGTCCTGGGTATGATGATAAACTACAACTGGCAGTAAGGCCTCTGATCAGGAGATTGGAGGTTTTGAAGAGTGTGGAACCATCCCTTAATTGCTGCTGCTCCCAGGTCCACCCTACCCAGGCAAATATTTAACCCCCAAACTGAGATGAAAACACTATGAAAGTATAAAAATACATTTTTGTAGTAGTTATACCAGCAATATATTTTTATAGTAAAAAAAATTACCATCAATACATTTTATAAAATGCTATGATCAATTAGTGAACCTCCAAACAAAAACAAAACACTATGAAAGTATAAAATTACATTTTTATAGTAAAAATACCAATACATTTTCTAGCAAAGTGACCAACAATACATTTTATCTGTAGTTGTAACCATAAAATTGTGTTCAAAATATTCAGATTAAATTAAATAACCCATAGAGATGTTGATATGCCACTAAACAAAATCAACCAACCAAGCTCCTCCACCATTTTATTTTTGATGATTTTTCTTTTTTCTTTTGTAGTTCTTGAAAAGGATGCCAAGTGAAGAAGCAGAAAATACAATTGTGATATCTTGTGAGGAGGACCGCACTCTATGTCAGCCAGCTTTGGATGCTGGCATTCCAATTGTAAATGCAGAGTTCATACTGACTGGCATCTTGCAGTACAGTATCTCCGTCAGTAAATATCCTTTGATCAAACTCATTTTTATTCTTCAAGCAACATGGCTTGGGAGATTGTTTGCCACTTATTTGATGAATTATTCACATTAATGTTCTCTCTTCTGCTGTTATAGTCACTGTATTTCAACCAGTATGCTTCTCATCCTTCCTCAAGTGCATATCATACATTTCATAATTTGAGTCTTTATTAATTTCTTTACTGATTTAAGTTACATTTTAAAATTAAACATATTTACAAAATTATAAGGGCTGATATGTATGTGGATTATGATTTTTTAATTTTATTAGGAGCAATATTATTAATTTTTAAGTATTTAAAGCAGAAGATGAAAAAAAAACTTTTTTTTTTTTTTTTACCTTCAGTAAACACCTGAAATTCAAAGAACTTCAAAGACAATTCAGTCAGTCACATGCCATGCATGATGCACACTTGGGCAATCATGTCTCTTTTGATTCGTAATTCATACAGGTCGTGGAAACCTTGAAAAGTTCTGGTAAAACAGCAATAGCCCAAAGCCCCTTGAAAAGTCCTGGAATTTTCTAAATTAGGCTGCACACACACATCCTTTTTCTCAATTCATGAAAGTCAAAATGCCAAATCCAAGAAATCTAGCTTTTTCACAAACTAAAATTATCCTTTAAGTGTTTTTTTTTTAGTTGTTAGTAATATTTGGAAATTATTGCAAACAGTTGTGTGTTTCCTTCATTAGTTACTTCTGTATTTTCTCATCTAGGTGACGAGAAAGACGGAGAATATGAAGGCGGGTCTTCTAGCTGCTACCCTCACTCAATAAGTAAAAGCAAAGATAAAAGGCATCAGAGACAAGTAAACATCTTTCGTCAAAGATAAATTAATTGACATTCATTGAATTTGTAGCTGAAAGGAAAATAATAAATTATTTTACAATTATAAAATACATTTTAGTAGAATCTCAAAAATTGATCAGTGTTTTTTAAAATTTAAACAATTGAAAAAATTTTATTCATATGTTAATTTCAAAAAGTAAAATGTCCTTATGATCTCTAGTCAACAGTAGGTGAGTTCATACTGAACCCGTGTCAATGTGTATCTATGTATAAACTACATTTGTCTAAAAGTAACTTTTAAAGTTTGCAGGCTTTATAATGACCTGTACCTCTAGCCATTGTTGTAAGTGTGAAAAAATGATGAAATATATTTAAACTCAAAGCTTGGCTTTATATTAAAAGTTCAAGCTGGCAACCCTGTCTCTTTACTTTTGTATTTTGGCCATAGATAGCTAGAAAATGTATAAACATATGAACAACTCCTAGACATTTGGCCAGATCTCATCAAATTTGGGAACTTGATTAAAAAAAAAAAAAAAATGTCCCCAGCTGCAGTGCTGTCAAGTGAATGTGTTATTTCCAGTAAAACTGCAGATTTTTGTGTGTGTTTTGAAAGACATTGAACCATTTCTGATAAAACATCAGAGCAATCAGCCATTGCTTCCTTTCTTTGCAGATGATTTTTTAGCATGATCATGAAACTGTTAAGATTTGTAAAGGAAGAGCACACTAAACAGATAATTACATTTTCCAAACTGAATGAATTTGTAAGAATTTTGTTAAACCCAAACCTGCATAAAGATGCTGGTGGATTTCTGGCAGAGAAGGCTATGCAAAATTTATCAAAAAAAGAAAATGTGCCAACAAAAGATCTGTTGCATGCAGAATTGCAATGTTCATCAGCATTACTGAGCAACTTCTGACAACGTCTCCCTTTAGATACCCTCTTCTAAGATCACTTGCATGACTGAACACTGGATCCATTTGTGAAAAAAAAATCTGCCACAGAAAGAAAGATGTCTTTCTCACATGATGGACAGAAAACAAGTCAGCAAGTCTGATTGTGATGATGTCATGTCAGTACAAAGAGTTTGAAGAGGAGGCTGCTGGAAATATTGCTGTCAAGAATTTCAGCAAACATGAAGACTGTCTGGACACTTTGTCCATCAAACCAAAAACAGTGAAAAGTTGTTCACGGATTGCTGGTACTTTCTTATGGACAGGCCTCAGTGTAGAAAGGTTTCTCAGCCAATAAGGAAATTTCCACTGACAATATGAAACAGCAGATTCTGATTGCACAGTGCATTATCACTATTTGGCCACAATTGGAGGTGCTGGGAATGTTCCTATAACTAAATCTTTTTGCAGTGCTTCCAATGCCAGAACAGCATACAACCAATACCTTGAGTCTGGGAAGAAAAGGCATGAAGAAGCAGCTGGACAAAAACAGAAATGCATTTAAGAACTGAAGGCCAAAAAACACAAGCTTGAAAGTTGCACACAAGATTTACTCAATTCAGCTCTCAGCTATGTAGAGAAAGCTAACTCAGAACATTATACTTAGCGCACAGTCCAATGCCATGCAAAGATCTACAAAGGACAAGTCCAAAGATATCAAAATTGGAAGAGGAGCTTAATGCTAAACTAGATGAAGAAATGTTAACATCCTTGTGTTCTGTGCCATGTGCAACAAAAGCCATGAGTAGTCGTCGTAGCTAAAATGTGTTGTATTTTTGTGAAATTTTCTATTTGTAGTTCTGCAGCAATGAAGAATTTTTTGTGACATTCACAAATCAAGAATAGTCTAGATAGTTGAAATGTGTAGCAGTAAGAATTAAAGAGTGTCATTCAAAATTTTCAAGTATAGTTGAATGCTAAACTGTGTAGAATGCTACACAAAATGTATAACATAACCAGATCTGCATTCAATTGTGTTTTAGCTTTTTTTTCATTGCTTTCAACCGATACATGTGACATGAATTATTGTAGCTTTTCTTTGAACATTTCATCTGTCAAATTCTTAAAAGTTAGATCACAAAGTTTGTGTTTTTGAAACTGATGACCAATCACTTTATGTGTGTGCGTCAATTTCAGTCATTGAAACTTCTTAACATAGTCCTGGAATTTCTTTTACATGGACCTGTGGGAACCCTGATAAATGACTAGGCAGATTTCCCTGCAGTTGGCTGCCATTTCTTTTTGCAGTAGACTGGTTGCTAACCAATTTTGATGTGCTGCTGAAACTATCTTTTATCAGTCATCTTAATTTTCCTACTAATGTCTCAGAATTCTTTGCAGAAGACAGTTTACTCTTGCTTGATCCAATATCTCGGTAAAAAAGGCTAATAAACTAATAAAAATATTTATTTTCAGCTTGATCAAAAGATTGTGTTTTTTTTTTTTTTTTTTTTTTTTTTTTTTTTATCCAACTATTTCCCACATATCATCTATTATCTTTTGAACTTGTTCTTTTCCTTAACTGACTTGACGTATCAGATTTTTGACAGTTCTTCTGGAAGCAAAAGGAAGCTAGTGGCCACAGACAAAGGAAACGCAAAAAGACGAAGACGATAGATAGTGCCAGATATCAACACCTTTGGAAATCTTTTCTTTTTTAATGACAGGAAATCCTTCATTTTGAAAATGGACACAACTATTGATGATATTTACTTGTGACTAAATACACGATGAGAATTTTATTTCTCCTATTCTGTGATGTTATCTCAGACCAATATTTCTCTATTTCGTCATACCTTTCTTTCTGATCTTTATCCACAACATACACACAGTGAAGTCTTTATAATATTATCATTCTATTAAATTATTATTATTATCAATTTCTTTATACAATTTTAAGTATAATTTAATTTGAAATTTTCTTCCTAGAATTGATTTAGATAAAAAAAAAAAAAAAAAAAAACGATTCATAGTTCAAACTATATTTAGAATCTAGGATCCTTACTCTTACTGTTCGTTAATGCCACGGGTGACTCATTGATTTGACAATTATCATTAGTATGCCATCATTATTCCTAATTATAAAATGTAAGTTGATTGAAGTTTTGCAAACCTTCCCAGCTACTTTCTACAGGTGATTACCATTAATGATTTCATAAGATTGCTAATTCCCTTGCAACAGAATTTATTGCTAGCCTTTATCACATAGTCGACACTCTGCAAGGTCATTAGCGTATGTGTGTCACACAACGTCAAATGTTATATCTATTTTTTTTTTTCGCCTTTCTCTTTGTATTCCAGCCCAGCATATCCTTCTCATTTATCTCTTGTAATTTCTTCAGGGAATCTGTTTCAAAATGACACAAAAGGTTTTTAGAATTCTGCTATCTGTGATCACCAACTTCTCCATCACACACACACACACACACAAAAATTAAATATTTTTTCTCTCTAATCAGTTCTTAAAAATAATTATTATTATTAAGAATTTGTATGACATTCCTACAAATATTTTCTATAAAAAACACACAAATAAAAAAAAAAATATCTACATCTGTGTTGAATTCATTGAAATCTTTTTACAGTGTTAAAAAATGCCAAGGCCTCATTTTAAAAATGCTTTGAAATAGTTCCATTCTAAAGATGACTGCACTCACTGAAGCTTCTTTTTTGTTCTACTGCAGCTGCTGTTGAAGCCTTAAAGACATCTTTCTTTATTAATGGCTCCCATATCATATTTATTTCTATGTTAGGCCTACTCAGGAGGTCCTCATAGCCTAGCATATGCACTGATTCTTTCAGTGTTCTTCCTTGTCCAGTATTTTCACTTCATTCCATGGGTTGATGACTACCTTTTTCCTTCCATACATGATCAGCCATAACTAATTTCATTGTCTCACCACTAATTACAGCTTTTGAAGGGTGGTAGCTAGTTACACCTTTATATACAATATGAGAACTATTAAGAGAGAAAAAGAAACGGCAGCTGTAGTAGAAAAAATAGAGAAACGTTGATATGTGCAGTCAAGCATGACAAGTAACACTCAATCAGAAAGCAGGTTAGGTTTAAGGCTCCAAGTCCCCCATTAGGAATTGTCCCAATAATCTAGTGCTGTGTTTCTCAACATTTTTAATCTTGTGGAACCTTTGAAATAGTTTTCATGTCTCAGGGAATCCCTGCATGAAGTTTATTATATACCATTATTACTATCTATCTCTTATATATTTTTATCATAGTTCACATGGTAAGCATAATATATGAACATCATGCATGTGTCCTGTACTTGAATGAGTCACTCAGTGTGATACATGAATCTGCTATGTACAGGTTCTGTTCACCAATCAGTGAAAACGGTTTCACACTGTCACTATATAAACATCACTAAATATATTCCCTATGATTATTATAATTTTAAATAATATAAGAGATTGAAGCCTTTATTATAATAACCAAGAATTTTCCTAAAATATGCAGTACATGTATAGTAAAATTATGAATATTAAATTAAATGGAAATTACTCAAAAATGCATTCACCTATTTATGACTGTTTTTCATGGAACCGCTAGCATCCTCTTGCAGATCCCTAAGGTTTCAGGGAAGACTGGTTGAGAAACACTTATGTAGTGGATTAAAGCATTGGTTTACAAATCTTGTTCCATAGTAATTGTGAGTTCAACCCTTGGGCTACACAGTGCAGACTTGGACTGTGGAAATGGAAAGAGCAATAACTGAGCCGTACTAAATAAGATGAGATGTCCAAAGATATGGTCAGTTGAATGAGAAAAATCTACCTCTGTAGATTAAATAAAGGGTTCAGAAAATTCCCTTAAATTTACTTGAATCAACAAGCACCTGATGAAGGCCACAGCACATACAAGGGTGAGCTGAAAAGTTCATAGGCTGACTATGAAGGAATGATATGAAATCATGTATACATTAATTTCAGCCCTTCTTATTAACAACAGCATTGCTTTTTTCCAGGTAAACTTACATCTGACCTGTCAAAAGAGACTTTAAAAGTAACTAGTAGTGACTTCTCTTGAAAGTAGACAAAATTTGGTACCCTGGTGTTATCAAATACCTACAGAAAAAGGGTTTAACTCCCTAAGGATAGGGTTGCTACATTAGGGGATGATACCCTAACTTTATCGAAAGTGGGTAGCTGAATTTAGGAGAAGGGAGAAGTCTCAAAGACAATGCAAGGTCTGGACATCCTGCAACTGCTATGACCAAGGAAAACATTGTTTTGTTCACAACATTGTGATGGTGATTTCCTAAGTGTAGCTTAGATGTGGCACAAGGCCCGAAAGTATGGGGCACCCAGTGAGGATCAAACTCATTTCTCAGTTGTAATTGTTCTAGTGAGACAAGCTTGCTAACCATTACACCACATCGAAGTCACCACATGGTTATGTACAACAGGTGATTGACTATAAATCAAATAGTATCAACATAGTTGAAAATATTCTGCACAATGAACTTGATATGCTAAAGGTTTCTGCTCGGTCAGTTCCACGTCTACTGACCTGATCAAAAGTACACCAGGCTGATCACATTACTGGAAAATCTAACACATCCAGCTGGAAAGTACTATGCCAACTTGCTGAGGCAGTTACAAAAAGCTGGCAAGAGCAAATGCCCAGGGAAACTGACAAAAGGCATCTTGTTTCATCAGGACAATGCTACAGCACACAAGTCCTTGGTTTCAATGACACTCATGTGCATGACTGTCACTGGTTGATCATCCTTGCTATTCTCTTGATGTGACTACCATCTGTTCTCCAACATAAAAACCACTTGTCTGGGAACCAGCATCGCTGTGATGATGTCATATCTGCTGATGATGACTTTTTTGACCAACAGGATAAGCAGTCAGTTTACCTGGAAAGAAACAATGCAGTTATTAATAAGAAGAGTTGAAAATAATGCATGTAAGATTTCACAGCTCTAGAATTACTCTTCTATTTTCATCTCACAGTCGGACCTGGAAAGAAACAATGCAGTTATTAATAAGAAGAGTTGTTTTTTTTTTTTTTTAAACTTTTCACCCCAAGCAGGGTGAGAGTGCCACTAGCACACAAGGAGTTACAGAAAGCGGGAGCAAGAGTAAAGAGGCAGGAGAGAGGGAAAGATGACAAGAAGGACGGGGAATAGATCAAGGCATTTGGAGATGTCGATTGACATTGCATTTGAATAATTAAAGATTATAGCTATCAGGGAAGCAAGAGGAAGGGAGTTCCACAGACAGGAAGTGAAAGAAATGAAGCTATTGGAGTAGGAGAGACAGCTACATTTAACTGTTTCAACAGTGAAAGGGTGAGACTGAGATGCCAGCCTTGTGGCACATTTAAATTCATGCAGTTTGGGAATTAGCGAAAATAGCTTGTCGGAGCAGTTACCATGAAAGTATTTGTAGAAAATCCAGAGGGAGGTGACAGCACGTCTGTGAGAGAGCGACTGTAGACAAGATGCCAGATCAGGGCCAACCACATTGCATATGCATGATTTCACAGCTCTAGCATCACTCCTTCATAGTCAGTCTATTAACTTTCCAGCCCACTTTTGTAAATGTTGGATGATAACAGATATTGACCATATTACAATAACTCCACATCCTAGAAATTCAGACAGAAAATATATATATATATATATATATATATATGCACCCCGTAGAAGCAAGTGAGCCAAAGTAGCTTTCATCTGGTGTATAGGAAAATAAGGGTCTTACCTTAACGTGCGGCACATGACATCAGCAAGTTTGCTTCAAGAAAATAGCATTACTCTCCCGTCCAGCCATTCTAGCAGTATGTGCAATGATGAGGGGTTTTTGTACAGTTCGGAATGCTTCCACCAATAGCAAGTCGTGTTCTGATTGGTCAAACTGGAGGAGGCAATTTGCCTGTGTAACCGAAGAACGCTGATTGGCTGTGGAACCACGGTGTTGGCCTGATAAAAGAGTTGCTGGGGCTGTGAAAAAGGGGACAGAAATGTTGGCTATACGTAGTGACGTGTGAAGAAAGCGAGGACGCTGAATTGAACCAGCAATATTGTGATTTGTACAAGTGACTGTTGGGAGAGCAATAGACTTATTTAAGCTACAATATGGAAGACAATGTTTTCACAAAAAAATCGATATGAACCAATAAATGTTGGTAAAACTTTCAGAATCATTATCCAAAGAGCAGCGTAAATAATAAATGAATTCAGGTACATGTTGGCCATAGAAACACATTTGATTAACAGAGTAGACTTTGTCATTCTATTTTACACTTTTTTTTTTTTTTTTTTTTTTAACTTTTCCTATTTCAACTTTCATCAGTTGTAATTGCTTTGCAGAGATCTTCTTTGATTGAATATTGCTTTCTTTTCTGCCTTTCTTTTGTAAGGTTGGAACACAAGTTTTTCTACTTGATTAACTCTTAGCATCTCACACCAAATATCACACCACATGATACCATACTTGCACTTCCATCTGATACCACCCAACTCCACACAAAAAAATATACAGTACATACACACAATGTTAAACCCGCCATTTTGCATCTTCTAGTACTCTTTAGCAAAGGAGATTGATTTATAAAGCACTTTCGTTAATGGCCACATCTATTAATTTCT